GCCTGGTTCCGAAGTTCAAACGGGCGCGGAGCCGCCGCTCACACGTCACTACAACTTACGCCCGCGGAAATGTATTAATTATAAACTTGGTAAATAACAATTAGTTATTTAATTTAATTCGTTTTCTTTAGCTTAAGTATATAATTATTGCTGTTAATTAATGCTTAATATATATTTACAAGTTTGTTATTCTTTTGTTAACAGAATTGGAAATTGATGTGGGAGAGATGATATGTATGGATCTCTCACACACACACCTTTTGTATTGCCACTTACGCATACTCAGTAATAAATCGTTCGTCAAACTAACCGGTCTTTTACTTGCTCCGATATATCTCAGTATTCCAACACGTTTTTCCGCAAAAACTTAAGGAACCAGTATATTTACTTATTGATTTGCCTTAGACGGCGAAAAGACTTCAAGGAAAGTAGGCGTGAGCTCGATCCTAATAACATAGTTAAAATGATGAAGATATTTCTTAACCTTGTAGTGTTGTGTACATTTCATTTGTGTATAACTTCAGGTAAGTCTAATTAGTTTACGTACACGTACAGGTACGTTTCAAGGAGCATTCGTTTTTAACAGATTTTAAATAAGGCAGTTCCAATTCAAAAATTTTTCGTAAAATAAAAGTTCTTTGAAGTCAAAGAATGAAATAGATAATCTTGTTTAATATCTTTGGAGTGATGTACTTTAAATATGTATTAAATATTTTATTAATTTGTTTTCACACTACATATACTTATAACTGTATGTATATATTGCAAACATTATGTAAGTATTTATTCGATATAAGAGTACACACTGCAATAACACGATACACACATAAGACATAAGTATTTACGTAGTTTATTATATTTTCTGTTTCGGGACGCATACGTCTGTCACTCTCACTCACTCGGCTAGGGCCCATTGAAAACCAGCGTCACAACCAAGCTGCAACCAATTTCGAATTCTAGAATCTTCTTAAAATCTCTTTTTGTATTTTCGTCGTGAAAACGTGTGAGACGAGCGATAACGAAAATACAGTAATGGATTGTACTCCACCTAATTTAAAACGAGGCAATATTAGCGATGGAAAACTTGTTGCCGACTATGAGCAAAGGAAGATACATGAAACTTTCATGCAATGGAGAACCGACAAAAATGCTAATCCGTTTTCGGGGCCTTGTGTTTGTAGCTTATTTTAAAACTCAAAAGCCATCAACATTATGGGTCACGTATTCTACAATCTAAAGTAATAATAAAACCTTATTGGATTCGAATAAGGTTCAATTTTTTTACCGAAATTTTTTTATTATTGTCTAATTTCGTTTCAAAATTTACAACCAATCAAAATTATATTATCTTAGTACTAATGTAAAATTACGTTGTCAAATATGTGCATGTGGCTTAGACTTAGACTATGGAAACCAAAGGACATGTTATATTGACATATAAATCAGACAGGATGCATTTAGACGTTGAAAACATAAACATTTTATTGTCTTTGTTTAACTACTGCGTGCCGTCGTAAGCCAAAAGAGATAGCACTACATTGATACATAAATACAAAACAGCTTAAACTGTTTAGAAACCGTTTAAAAAAATTTAATATCAGTCTTCAGATGGGAAATGCATAGAGATCTCCTGATTTATATTATTTTTCGTAATATGTGAGCATTTATAAATGCAAAATAATAAATTCAAAATGTCATATTTATCATCCCGATATTCCGATATGACAATGAATATTGATCTACTTTAATTAAACATTTTAATCATACTTTGATTACTGTAGACTATACAAATTACAAACATAACAAAAAAAAAACAGTTTCAACATTCAAGCCATACATTTGCATGTCGATATTGGCTTATCGATGATTATGGTACAACACTAAAGAACTCCGTCGTTTGTGGTGGACATTTTTGGTTAAGTTTGGGACGTTTTTTCGGTAGACAGGGCTCTTTAGAGGATGGAAAAAAGTAAATAGTCTAAGGCATGTGGCGACACCGGTTTTAATACTAATGTCGCTGGATGGCATTTCCACTACTTTCTTTCTTTCTACATTGTAAACACAACATAAGTGTTGACGGCATTCTCAAACCAACAATCACAAACTAAATTAAAATTTTTGACAAATTAACATATTTAAATAATTTAAACTAAGTAGCAACAGCACACATTGAGAAATATTACAGGAAATGACTAATTAATACTCATAGGAACTATATTAATAATTTTTATATATTTTTTTATTTTTCTACATTTCATTTTCACTCCTAAGGAAGGCAAATTTAGGGAATACTTTTGATTGGACTGCACCCACTTTCCGTTAATCGATATCAATAAAACTTAGTAAATAGATGTAATTCCACAAATTTTTGAGGTTTTTTTTTTATAAAAACTATATAAGTAACTATTATGTTCTATAACTTACAGGACAAAATCCAAATGCTACAGATGATGATAAATGCTCGGATGTATTTAAATGTAAGTATGAAACCAATTTCGTATTCTGTTTTCCGGCTACACCGGGTACGCCAGTTATAGAGTTACGTAGCCGTGACGTAATGCGAGTTTACCGTCGTTCTTTGTTATTTATGTAATAAGGACTAGTTTTACTTGTCAATATTTTGGCAATGTCTGTTTTACAAACAAACAAACCCACGTTTTGAATTCTTTACTAAGAAGGTAATAGTCATCAACTGGTTTTTTATCTAATATTATAGCGAACCAACCATGTTATGTACTATAGTTCAAACATTGTCAGTTTAACTACATTATTTAATAGTATATCTACATTGTGTATGAAGGACGGCAAATAAAAACATTTAGAAGTCGTCCGTGATACGTACAATCATCGCGAGGAAATAATTACAATGTCTATTTCTTTTATGAATCAATATGGTTCACAACGTAACAATTATGGATTTCGCAAATGGGGGGATTTTTGTTTTTTTTTTTATCAACAGATGCCCAGCTAGTTTTTGTTCCATATGTAATAAAACTCGAACTAAAATGTCGTTTATAGCAAAGACGCATACAGCCATGATGGATTGTAAAAAAATTTGGTAAATTTTTATACAGAAAATAATTAAAATCAATTGAAAGTAATTCTTCATTGTAAGCATTGACTTACAAATTATATGGACGTCGGGTCCGCGCTAAAAAGTGTCCGAACTTATAGGGCGTTAAAATCGTATACAGAGCGTCATTCACGCTTTAGTCTTCGTTTGTTTCTTCTGACAGCGAAGCAAGCAACGAGACAGACGGTACTGCGATGACATTACAATTTAAATTCAACGTTTTAGCTTTTTCATATTCCTTTACAAGTCACTACGTTTAAATAGGTTGACTTGGGACATTTTTTTCGTGGTTTTTGTATTAGACCCGTCGTCCATTTATTTGTAAGTCAATGATTATAAAATATTTCAGTTGTATGTGGCGGAGTTGCAATTAAATTTCTGTTTAGATGACATTTTAAGCGAATGTTTTAATTTTGAACTTAAATAACCTCCCTTGCTTGAACTTGAACTGACTTCAAACTGACATATTGTAAGGAAGTATGTCGTGCTACAAATTAAAAAAATCTCCTTACCGACCATAGCTGCAGTGGGAAGAATAAAGGCCCGATGGTTTTATTTGGGGCATTAGAGTCAAGTTAGCCACCAAGCAATCATAGGGTCGTTTTCTAGAACTCTACTCAATGCTCAAGTCAGGATTTGAGTATGGTTTAAAGCACTCGAAATCACACTCAAGTCCCTGCCATTAGGGTCGTATTTCCAGTGCTTGTGTTTCCAGTGCAATCCTGACTTGAGCATGGAGTAAAGTTCTAGAATACGACCCATACTATTTACGGGCAAGTGTGATGAAAAAAGAATGATTTAAATTTACTCTATATAGACCATCAGCAAAATATTTTCATTATAATAATATGCATTTTAAAACACTTATATTGAAATATATTTTTTGGTTGAAAGATAATGGCATCCACACTGGTTTTCATTGTCTCGCCATCTCTGAGGTCCCGGGTTCGATCCCCGGCCGAATAGAAACCTAACTTTTCTATATTATTTCGGGTCTGCGTGTTATAGTTACTTACATTGGGATCAGAGCAACGTATGTGGTGTTGTCTAATATAGAGTCTATACTACCTCAAATGGGTTTAGGTGATGCCACATAAAAGTGAAAGTGTTGAATCAATCACTTACAATAGTGTATTAACTCAAAAAGTGTATTTATTCAGAATCGATGAAAAACGAATTACTCACTTCCAGCGAAATATTATTAAAATTTATGTATAGGTTAAAGTTTATTTATTACAGACATCTAAACAACTCCCTACTTGCCAAATAAAAGGAGAAAATAACTTAATATTTTTAGAAACTTATTTAGTGAGACAGTTTTATCCAGAACTAGTTTGCAAAAAGTTTGTCTCATTTTGAGTTAAATAGATTTATTTTAATTGTTTCTTGCAATATTTTAACGACGGTTTTATTGACGTGTAGAGAATAAAATTTTACGTTCAGCAATGGCATCATCTTGAATTTCACATATTTCGAGTTACAACACTATTGTAATAGCAGTGCGATATAGTAAAATTGAGGATACAATGATTTCAAAGCGGTATGAAAGATTGCTAAAAATTATCATGATAGAAAAAAAAACCACAAACTTACGATAGGTACTTAAAATAAACGTATTAACAGAGAACAAATAAGTAACGAGAACGGACACTCTCCGCCCCTCCCTAGCTTTAGATACCGCACCACGTCCCGCACATTGACGGTCACACTGGCTGAACGAGAACAGGGCTGTCGGCGAGCCGATTTCGCGCTAAAACGGCTTTGATGTTTGAATATAGTTTTCATTTATTCATTACGAAACTTGTACGTTAATATATGTATAACATCATTTTACGTTGCTATTTATAATAGTCGTGAATTGTGCTGTGTACGGCTGTTTATAATCATCAAAACGGAATAAAGAGAGTAGTTTCTTTCGTTTTTTGAAAGATGAAACGAAGTAAGTAAAAAAACTTATGTCTGAGACTCATTCACTTATTGTTTTCTTTAGTGTAGAGTAATATATAATACAGATTTATTATATCAATATAATAAGACGCCATAACTTCGTGTGATAGACAAGGGTTATAGAATTTTCAATTTGTATTGCCGATAAATATTACGTAGTGAATATAGGTACCTAATTATAATATTATTATATCGATATAAATACGTAATGAACATGTGTGATTATTAGGATTGTATAATAGAATTATAGATAACAGATTCGAGTTAGAATTTTCGCTATGTTGCCGCTCTGTTGTAATAGTACGAGCAACTGATGGGTAGGTAACCCTGCCACTTCACGCACACATTCGCGCGTGTGCAGATAGCGCCTTTTTGTATGTAGTAGTAGGTAAATAAGTTTCGACCGTTGTATGAAGTGCCCGGGATGTGGTATTAGTATGGGAAAAATTCGTATTCGAGCTGATATAGTATCGACTCTAAAGGGTGCTGGTGAAATTATAGGCACAGAGGACTTGTCAGATTATGTCTCTAGGTGCAGTGGCAGTGCTCTTCAGATCTTAGCGATTTAAAGTGTGACTTACTACCAAGCACTGGACTATTATAGAAAAAAAATTACAGCAAGCAGATGATCTGAAAAAACCCAACTTTGATTTGTTATAATTATTAATACAATGATAATAGAAAACATTCCTTTGATCCGAGAAGAAAGGTTGACGAAACACTTTCATAGATTTCTCATAGATGGCGCTAAGGCTAAAAAGTCTTTGAAAATCAAATACAAAAATCCGACAATAAGCACATCAAAGAATTCGTGAGGTACGCTGGTTCTTTCCGCTTAGTTGGCGTCGGATCCGGACGGATCGAAGTATTGTTTTCTGAGTGTTCGATCTTGTATTAATAATTATAACAAACTAGTGGAGTAGTTTCACAAAAAATAATTAAATATCAATTGAATAAAATTTAATCCACTTTGATTTATTTACAGACTTGTACATAAGTGGTCTACCCGTTATCAATAATTGGAAATACGAGATTACGAGTAATGGTTTCGTGCGCTGTCAAAGCACGTATAAATACAGTTCACCGCAAGCGTTGGAACTAGGATGCCATAGCAAAATACAAAGCTTATTGTTTACTAAGTTGAACATAAGAACTCCTACAGGTAAATAAATTTATACATACGGCGCACTATAAGTTTCCGGAACTGGCCACTTACATAAACAATATTTAAAAAGTAATTACAACATTTGAAAATGGAACTCTTTGGCTGTAGAATACATTTTGTTTCAACTGACTGTCACTTGTTTTTACATTGTGGCGTCATTTTAGAAATTGGTTGTCTACATCACCATGGATCGAACTCGTGAAAATTTTCGTAGTATGATTTTCTACGAATTTAAGTTTAATTTAACAGCTCAGCAGAGCTTCGCTCGGCTTCAAACTGCTTTTGGCGATGAAGCACCATGCAAGACGACTATTTATAGCTGGTTTGCAGAATTCAAACGCGGATGTGTGAATCAGTGAGGGATTTCGTGATGGTCGCCCGTCCACGGCTGTGAACAACAAAAACATCGAAGCTGTGTGCCGTATGATCAAAACAGACAGGCATGTGACATACCATGAGATTCGGGCATCTTTAAGCATGAGTCAAATACAATCAATACTAAACAACATTTCGGTGTGAAAAAGCTGTGATCTCAGTGTATCCCGTACAATTTGACTGAGACTCGAAAAACGGATCGCGTCACTTGGTGCAATGCCAAGCGTACCAGATTCAACGAAGGGGCGTCAAATTTGGTGTGAACATGGATTTATAGTTACGATCCCAAAACAAAGCAGCAATCGAGAGTATAGGTCTTTCAAGATGAGCCGAAACCAACTAAAGTGGCGCAAGTGCAAATTGCCTCTAAGCGGATGATTGCTTCTTTTTTTAATAAAACTGGACACGTGGCTACTGTTGGTTTGGAGAATCGTTGTACCGTGAATAGTGATAGGTACACGACCATTTGTTTGCCGGAAGTTATTGACCAACTCCGTAAAAATAACCGTAAACGCCATATCATCTTGCACCACGATAATGCCAGTTTTCACACGGCCAGATATACAAATGAATTTTTGAAGGTGAACAACGTTGACCTTATGAGCCATCCCGCGTACAGTCCAACCTGGCACCTTGTGACTTTTATTTATTTCCAAAAATTAAGAAACAGTTACGCGGTCAACGATTTTCATCACCTGAAGGGGCTGTCGAAGAGTATGAAAAATATGTTTCAGAGATTTTCACGGAGGAGTGGCATAAATGTTTTCAAAATTGGTTCATTCGTATGAAAAAGTACATTAACGCTAATGGAGAATATTTTGAGAAACTATAAATTCATTTCTGACCATTTATAGTATTTTTTTCTTATTCATTCCGGAAACTTGTAGTGCGCCACACGTATAGTATTTTATGCAATCGTTGCATAACGAGTGGTCTGAAAACCGAGTATGTTTAAGTATGAGATTTCAATACATAATTAGGTATATAAGTAATAATTGCATACTATACTTTTTCAACACAACCAATATAGGGTGCTCTTGGGGCTGCCCAGATACTGCAGTGCGTCTGGCATCGAGTATATAACCAGAAATAGAGGCGAAATGTCATTTAATTTGTTTGAAAATCTGCCAAATCATTACGGTAACAACTGCGCTCCGACTGGCCAGCCCGAATTTGAAACAATTGACGGGTGTCGTCACTTCAAATCGACCAGTTTAACTTGGGCTTTGCTGTAATGGACGAAAATTGAAAAAAATACATATTATTTAGTATTTAAATATTCATCGGAATGTAATTCCGTTTGTTTTGTAAGTAGATGTTTTGTTGTTTTTCTCAAACCACCGAATGGAGCAGCCCCCCATAGTTATTATCTTTATTACAATAAATAGAGAATATTTTTTGAATATACGGAGACGTACACACAGGCCAGTTGTTGGTGCTGTACTATTTCTAATTGGTGATTTCAGTGCAAACGAGAGTTGATATTTAAAAGTGATATTTTCCTGATGAGTTGCCAAGGATGGATGGCCGTTATTTTGTCTCTATTTCTGGTTGTATACTCGACGGTCAAACCATTACACTACATTGAACTTCCTCACAAAGCGATTAATTTCTTAATCACCGATAGCTCGCCTCCACTATCGTACCTCTATACTAAAAATTAATTTTCAGAAGACGGAGAGGCGGTCTACAGCAGAAATAGCGACATTTTTCTGAATATTGCAATAAATGCCAAACAACATAATGAATCTACGATTTATTGTCAATCTCTAGATCGTATTAACTATACTACGAGATCCGTCATTGTGGAATTAATTTATGAACCGAACAAAGAATTACCAGGTTAGTACCAAAACTTTACCAGGTAATGTATTAATAGATCATCTGACTGGAAACATATTGTATATATTATCTTAACGGCAATGTTCTATACAATACCGGGCTTCTTTGGGCAATGTATGTATGTAATAGTTAATATTTTTTAACTATTGTACACATTTTATTGTGTTCTATAATAGTACATGAAAATTTTTTATTGTAAAGCCGGAGATTTAACTTTTCGAAGAAACAAAAAACACCTACTTTAAGAAAAAAATCTTTTTCCGTTAAAAAGGCGCCTTGGCGACATTTAAATACAACACTGGTACACAAGACACAGTTCACTTCAATATACAGGTTAACTTATTCTACACATAAAATAACTAGTCTTTAATTCCTGCGAGATAGTAGGAACTCAATATTGAGTGCGCTAGTGGAGGACGTAACCGGTTCTATTTTTCGGCACTGGTTTCCGTGCACTGCACTGACAATATCAGATGATGGCTAGTTTATTTTATTTTATATTTTTGCTTTTTTTCCAATCCAATGGTGAAATTTGGTATAAAGTTTTATCTGTTAAGTAGGTATCGTATTATTATTCATATTTAATGATTCTGTTGTATGTGGGTTTTTTATGCCTGAAATATATTTTATATATATATATTAATATTATTATTATTATTTAAAATAATTTACTACATTTTATGCTGCCAGTCCAGAACTTGTTACATTTTTTCAAATTAGAAACTATGACCAATCATTATCAAGATTTCATAGTGTTTAATCATTTGTTTGTGTGCGTTGCGACAGCGGCTCCGATAGGAACCGAGGCCTAAGGCACTCAGACCTTTTAACAGCACACACAAACCTGTGCGCGTTATTATTTAATAAGCTCCTGTGTGCTTGTGGGAAGCAATAAACGTTTTATATCTATCTATCTATCTCAACTATATCTCAGACACAGAATTACAAAACTTTTCTGTCTCACCTTGTCGTACTATCTACTTCTGAATTCGCCTTTGTGTAGAATGTGTCGTTCTTATAAAACAATTAATAATTACAATTAACGTTTTTACTGATTCTTCACAAAATATTTAATTAATACAATTGCACTGTCACATTTACATCAATCAACTATTTATTCCGATCTTATAATCAATTATTTACCTTAAACTTTAGTACATTAATGAATAATTGGACTATTTATATTGTAAGTTTTTTTTTAATTTTATTATTATTTTTGTATCTGGGTATATATTGAGCGATGTGGATACCTGTAATTGGCTTACACAAAGAACTGTGCCTTACCAAATGTTGTCATTTAATCTCATTTTTTCTGTGTAATCTGTTGGTGTTCCAAATGAATAAATAAATAAATATTGGCGGAATACCAAACATATCAAATCCTTAGTTTGTTATAATTATTAATACAAAGATGGAACACTCAGAAAAAATTCCTGCGATCCTTCCGGATTCGAACCGACGTCTTCTAGCATACCGTGCCAGACGTATACCAACTAAGAAACGGAACGAAACAGCGGACCTCACGAATTTTTCTATGTATATCCTTGTATTTGGTTTTTCAACGACTTTTTAGTCGTAGCGCCATCTATGAGAAATCTATGACATTTCGTCACCCAGTTAGATACCTTTACAGCAGTGTTGGGCGTAAATCAATTAAATTTCAATCAGAAATTAATTCAGATTAAAAAATCAATTCAATTGAAATCAATTGCAATTAAATCAATCGCGACACGTCGCAATTGTTTTAATTGCAATTGATTTCAATTGAATTGATTTTAATTGCAATTAAATTAATTGCAATTAATTTTTTTAGTTGTTCTAAGAAACAATTCAAACTAACAATTAAAATCGAAACTACCAAATAAAAGTGTCATTACGAATATGGGTTAGGGGGTGGGTTGGGGGTGTGTTAGGGGGTAGGTAACTAACCCTAATAACCCTAACCGTCCCCCCAACCGACTTCTAATCGACCCCCTAACCGACACCCTAAGCGACCCCTTAACCGACCCCCTAATCGACCCTCTAACCGGCGCCTTAACCGACCCCCTAATCGACCCCCTAACCCACCACCTACATATGCTTTATAAATTTATCATAATTGTCTGTTTTAATTATTAATTGTTAATCAAAAACATTGAAAAGATTGAAAATTAATTAATTGTTAATTGCGGTTCTCGCAACTAACAATTGATCAATCGTTAATTCCTGTTTCGCAATTGACAATTTATTAATTGTCAATCTTTAATAACCAGAACAATTAAATTTTGCCCAACACTGCTTTACAGCTATCAGCCCCGGTTAGAGATGTCACTATTGTATTTAATTTTTTGTTGAATTGATACTCAATTATTGTTATATTCGGCCGGATTGAAGGATTTTTTTCGGAGTGTTCGATCTTTGTATTAATAATTATAACAAACTAGTGAAGTAATTTCACAAAAAAATAATTAAATATCAGTTCAATACAAATTTACATATATAATCTTTTCATAATAATTTTTTTCCAATGCTCTCTATATAAAATGGCAATTTCATAGGTAAGGACCTAATATGTTATTAATTTTATGCGGAGGGAGGGTGGGAAAATTAACTGTATGAAAAAATATTCAACACAAGCGCGGTTATTTTGCACGATTAAACCTTCACTGCGTTCGGGGCCGCAAAGTAACGCCTGAATGTATTAATTATTTAAAAATACTTGGAGCTCAAAACTGCGTCATGTCAGACGAAATCGTTAATTAACAACGGTCTTTTTGTAGAGAACAGGAGAAGAAGACTGTTTCTGGAGAAAACAATTTCGTTCGCAATAAATACTAGGGCCGATGGCGACGTTTGTACAATCTATACGTGGCTTCCAATCTATTCAGGACCATTAATGATCGAGATTTTAGGTAACTACGATCACCTGGATCATTTTTGGTAAGTTTTCTAGTTTTTTATTTATGTAATAATAATAATAACCAGGGATCGGAATAAGTACAGTTTTTTTACCAAAATTTCGAGGAACATACATTGCACATTTTCTGACGCGTATAAATAGTGAATAGGCAGGTTTGGGCACACGTTTAGTATGCAAATCTATAGAAGATAGGTCTAATAATACGTTTTTAGTGATTCCAAGACTGGATCGACTAAGACTTTGTAACGATGGGGCACTAAAGGTATGGTCCTGTACAAAAAATACACATTTTATTTTTTTCCTACTAAGCTATTAGATTTATGGCAAAATGTGATATGACAATATTTAATTAGGATAATAGGATCTCTCGATTGGCATTTTTTAGAGAGGTATCGTGAAAAACAATCCAATGTCCGCAATATCGCAGATCCGACTCTCGGTGGGTCGCAAAGTTAAGATAAATATAGTGTACCTGCCTGTCTTCAATTACGTCAATTTGTAAGTTGTCGTAAGGCAGTCTCCATTTTCTGTCTATGTTCCTCGAAGTTTAAGTGAAAAAACTCTACCTATTCCGATCCCTGATAATAATGCACACACTCAACATAGCCCCACATTAGGGAAACTGTGTGTTGCGGGTGACATGGACACACACATAGACAACCACAAATTACACCCACACTCACGAGAAAAATAAATCGATGGGTCTGGACATTGACTTTGGGTCTGAATGGATGTATAAGGGCCAAAGCGCAAATTCACAATTTTACAGAGGTTTCCAAACTTTCAATCTGGTATATTTTCAAGATTTCCTTGAATGGATATGTTTGATTTTGTTTTAACGCTACTTTTTACGCGACATTTGCGTGGCAGTCCGGTATGGTAACCGTTCGGCCACGGAGGCAGTTAAACTGTGACCCAAAAAGTATGACTCCATCAATAAGAGAAATGATGATTTTGCCAATGTCACGGTCGAAAGAAAAACAAAAAACACACAGCTCTATTGCGACAATAACCGGTTTTGAATGAATTGTTCCACGGGGTAATCAGTTGAGGATCTAAAACAAAAGACGCACAAACACGTATTTACAAATACCTATATATTATTTAAGTGGATAAATTTACATAGAGTAACAATTAACAATATGGGGGAGAACACTAAACACACTTTAACTGCCTCCGTGGCCGAACGGTTACCATGCCGGACTGCCACGCAGAGGTCCCAGGTTCGATTCCCGGGCCGGGAGAAATGTTTGTATGGCCTACATTTATTTCTCTCGTGAGTTTGGGTGTAATTTGTGGTTGTCTATGTGTGTATCCATGGCACCCGCGACACAGGGTTTCCCTAGTGCGGGGCTATGTTGAGTGTGTGCGTTATTTATTTATTTATTTATTTATTTATTTACTAATGCTCTGGCCACACAGAGGCGGGAATTTTTGTAATGTACAGGTTCATGTGAACCCGGCCACACTGGAACGCGCGGTGCGGTGCCGCTCGCTATGACAAACAAGCGGATCGGGTGCGGGGCGGACCCGGTGCGAGTTGTTTTCTATTGAGTTCTATGCAACCGTCCATAAAGAGCGGTAGCAGCGGGCGCGGTCTGCGAGCGGGGCTTTGACGTTATATTTTTTACAATTTTGGAATTTATTATTATTATGTTCCAATATGAATTCCACCGCTTTTTCTGTGTGTTGCAAAATCAAAATAATTTCCTTGATCATTATCCGACAGCGATGTGGTTTATTCTTTAAAATCTGTGTTGAAAATTAAACTTGGCCGCTTTTGGTGGTACACTGGCCGCCTTCGAGCCGCTATTCCGCCGCTAACTACTGGGACTGCTGTGTGTCACGCCCCGGTATGCATTCGCTTTCCGCAGGTCCGGCTTCGGCTTTTTCCGATTTCCATGGAATCCCTTCGTCAGATTCTGACTTCTTAGTGATTGTTACGGACTTCTTTGTACATTTTATACTTTGTTCTGGTTTCATGGTGACGGTGATTTGTTGATTACATTCATTAACTGCCTCCTTAGCCGAACGGATACCATGCCGGACTGCCACGCAGAGGTCCCAGGTTCGATTCCCGGGCCGGGAGAAATAGTTGTATGGCCTACAATTATTTCTCTCGTGAGTTTGGGTGTAATTTGTGGTTGTCTATGTGTTTGTCCATGGCACCCGCGACACAGGGTTTCCCTAGTGCGGGGCTATGTTGAGTGTGTGCGCTATTTATTTATTGTGTCAAGTGAAAAGTCGACTTTTATTTGCGGAATATTTTTTTTTAATTTGTGGTAGCTGAAACGAACCCGGAACTGCATCGTTGGTATCAGGGACCACCTCGAGAGTATACCCTTTCATACAAAAACAGAATTTTAAAAATCGGTACACAATTTATGGAGAAATCGGTATGTCAGTATACATGTCTTTAAAATTTGTGGATTTTCCTCGATTTCTATGGAATCCCTCATCAGATTCTTTTATTTTTTTAATAATAACGCACACACTCAACATAGCCCCGCACTAGGGAAATCCTGTGTCGCGGGTGCTATGGACACACACTTAGACAACCACAAATTACACCCAAACTCACGAGAGAAATAAATGTAGGCCATACAAATACTTCTCCCGGCCCGGGAATCGAACCTGGGACCTCTGCGTGGCAGTCCGGCATGGTAACCGTTCGACCACGGAGGCAGTCGTTCTGACTTAGTGTCAATGGGACCACCACGAGAGTGCACCCTTTCAAACAAAAACAAAAGAATTTTCAAAAACGATGTACAATTGACGGAGAAATCTGAAAACATACATATAGCCGAACTTATAACCTCCTCCTTTTTTTTGAAGTCGGTTAAAAAGTGGCGAATTAGCTTCCGCTGATGTGTAAACACCCTGCATCAGCAACAACTCTGATCACATACAAGCCGCGGTGCGACGTTTGTGTGGACTTACTCTACTGTCTTATTTATTACACTGTGGTAATGATCTGACAGAGGTATCAAATATTGTACCCAGTATTGCACAAAATTTCATAAAATTTAATTCTGTAAATAAAATACTTGACGGTATTAAAATAGTTGATTACTGTTTAGCGATGCGCGACTTTGAATGTTACTAATAGTAATCATTCGAATGGGCAAATCATTCGCCAAAGTCGAATCCAAGCACAATCATTCGACTCGAGTAGAATGATTAACAATACCGAATGCCATTCGGTTCAACCTCGTGCACCCAGATTGAATGATCATTATATCGGAACACCTCATTCATCATATCAATATCAAAATATCCCTGTCCCCGTCATATTTACACTATTTACCATTATGTCAGAGAGGGCTAGTTGATCACGAGCAGAAATGCACTATACTTTACTGCGCGTGCAAAACTGCAGAAGAGCAGTTGGTAAATACCGCGTAACAGCAAAAGGTATAAAATTGAAATATCGCTAACGCTAATTCGCCTAAGCTAGATCTCACAGAATTTTAATTAGCCTTTAAGAAACCTCATTTTTGCCATCGAAACAATACCGCAAAACAGTAGCACTGCTGAAATAGAAAAATGAAGAAGTTATAACACGATCTCTGCACGAAACTTACGACAAGGAGAACTAATTTATTATTTGAAATAATTTTTTTTTTTATTGAATTGCTATTCAATAAAAATGAAATTTATAATTTATATAACTTTTTGTGAAATCACTCCACTAGTTTGTTGTAAACAACTTTTTTTTTTATTTATTTTAATTATTTTGCTTTTTGTCATTAACATGATAAAAAGAAAAATAAGTGGAATCCGTATGAATATATCACGAAAAGTCGGACTCAGCTCAAAGGAACTTAGTTTTGTTGAGAATAGAGTCGCCTGCGTTTTGGTAGCGTTAAATTTGACAAGATTGGCATCGCCCCAATCGGAGACTGCCTTGAGTGTCAAATCAAAACTCTATAGTTGACAAGGTCAGCTTTGCTTCCTTTTTTCGGCACAGGTTGCACGTTTACAAGCTTCCACGACCTGGGAACTACACCAATCTCAAGTGAGTGGCGGTACAGGCGTATGAGAACAGGAGACAACTCACGCGCACAGTTACGCAGGACTATTGCTGGAATTCCATCTGGCCCACTAGCTTTATTCACGTCTAGATTTCGCAGAGTTCTAAGCACCTCTTTTTGGCGTTTTCGAACTGGTGCACAAACACATAGTGCAGCCAGCCTGTGGTAAAGTAGGTGGTAGGTTCCCTGCGGCATCCAAACGCGAACTCTGCAAAGAGTGAGGCAAAAAGATTCGCTTTCTCTTCCGCAGTATGAGCCATTGAGCCATCCGGCCTCAGCAGAGGTGGCAAAGATGAGCGACAAAAGTTAGATTCGACCGCTTTGGCCAGGAACCAAAAGGAATTGCTACCTGCAGGAACTGCTGCCTGCTGCCAAGCTTGCCTCTTGGCACATGGTCGAACTTAGCCCTACGTAACACACTTTTGCGCTTTTTGGCGGCCTTATTAAAAGCTTTCTTCAAATTCTGAGTACTCGGAGCTTTGCGTAGTCAAGCATCTGCTCAAGCTTGGTACGCGGACTGTTTACGTGTTTCAGCACAACTATAATCAGCGTAAAACCATGGACGAGTTTGGGGTTCATTAGGTACATCAGAGTATGGTATGTAACACTCCATACCCAAACGCAAAACCTCGACTACAGCATCAGCACAGCTCGCCGAGTCTCCTGAAATAAAGCACGCCTGTTAGGGTTATGACGCAAAAACATGAACATCAGCTGTGTATTATAGTCTTAGACTATGGAAAATATTTTTTCCGTCCTTTAAGATTATAGTGGGTAATATCATAATAAAAAATAGGGTGGCGTGGCTACAGAGCAAGATCTTACCTTTTAATTATATTTATGCAAGACATTTAACAAGATCCTGCTGTGATTTTCAAAGATGAGACTGTTTTTTTTGTATTCTTAATGCACATATTTTCAATCTACAAAATTTAATAACATTTTAATCCCACGAACTTGCCTTCTTTTTGATTTACTTATAAAAA